TCCTATTCCACAACACCCAAAATTTTTCTAAGACAGTAAGATTTGGTGACTGTGAAGACTACATAAAACTCATTATTGTGTCCCGTGAACCAATCTCCACTTATATTTGATTTGTAGACACGGTGCATTGTACTGCTAGAAGTGGCCACCAGAATACAGTTATTCCGAAGTCATAAATTGAGGCACCTTATCAGCTATATTATTTACAAAGGCTCTGGTATATAAACAAATTTTATTGGTATCAAGGATTCTAGTATATGCCAAGAAAATAATACCCATTTCCAGCTTGAATCGTTGATACAAGGCAGGGTGGATCCATACTTCAAGTTTGTTTTACACCAAATTTTAGCACTACCATCTGAGGGTCACGACATTAATATCGAGATTCAACAATCTTGGCAACGTCTTTCCATTGTTTTTGTCCAATTCTTAGCGAATTGTAGCCTCAGATTCTTGTACTTATCTGATAAGAGTCCCAGCCGGCATAGTCATCTATTGTTGTAGCACATCTGCTTCCGAAATTCTCTTCTGTATATCTCCGTTTTAAAGAGTGGTATTATTACCTTTTTCTCAGCTTAAATCATTCTGGTCATTCTCCTCCGACGTCTTTCATCATCTTTCATTCTGAATTGCCGCTCAATGGATGTTTTTTTTCTGCACTTTCTAGGAATAATTTTGCGTGAAAATCCTATCTACGCAGTAGTGTACTGTCGTCGTATTGTGTTAAAAGTCACCAACGAATTGACAGCCCTTTCGACCAGAGAAATCGGATCACTGCTCTTTGTTCCAACTTGATGCATACTGTTAGCGGTGAGGTCATGTTTACACTGTAACAGCAGGAAGAAAATTGGAGTGACAAAGCTTACACTTGATCACGTGTCCACAATATACCGACTATAAGCATGCCACTGTAGAAGATATTATGACAAACTTAAATATATTTTATGACGAAAGTGTGGTAATTTTTTTCATTTAGCCTCGTAATATACGAATTAATAAACTGAATTGGTTTATTTGATTCCTTGGTCACTTGATTAAATCTGTGAAAATTGAAGTCAAAGGATAAGATTTTAAATTTTTATTTTAATTTGTTTACAAATGAACACAAATTTCAATTAATGTGTTTATGTCTGCCCCACCTACATATGTATATACAATGAGGATGTAAATATATATATATATATATATATATATATAATATATATATATATATATATATATATATATAGGTGAGGCAGAGAGGGCGGACGTTTTTGAAATGGCTATTACGCAGCCTGAGGGGAAGGGCCATATGTCCGACAGGTAGTATTCGGTCGTTGGTGTCTTATCATTTTTTCTTTTCTGTTGAAGCCATGGTACTGTGTACGATAGAGAGCCTCGTGTTCACTTACGACAGTTTCGTGAAGAATAACGAGTCTGTCGCAGCATTTCAGTGTGAGTATCGTCGCCGATTCAACATTCACCGAAATCAGGCTGTTGCCGCTCATAACAGAATCTTATGTGGAAGCCGACCAAATCGACAGAGCAACGCTGGAAAGAGTGGCGGCCAACTTCCAAAAACGCCTTCAGAAATGCATCAATGAAAACGGACACCACATGAGGGATGTGGTGTCCGATTTACATACTTGATTTTGTCAAATGCTAAATCAATATGAACACATTGATGTCAATAAAGTTTTTGAAGGTGAAATTAATGGTGATGTGAATTTTTCAAAAATATCCTTCCTCTTCGCCTCACCCGGTATATGTGTGTACATGAATTGCTGAGCCAACACATTATGACCACCTACCTAAGAATGCGTTGGGCTTTCTTGTGTCCGCAAAAAACAGCTATAAAGCAAGGATTCTAAAAGAATCTTTCGAAACTTTCTGCTAGGCTGCTAACAGCAGGTCTTTTAATTGTTGTAAGAATTGTGGTGGAATTTCTGAGCAGCTTTTTCTGCTTAACACATACATTGTGTTCAATGGGATTGAGATCTGGGTAGTTTGGTGGTCATACCAACGAAGTGAAAACTTTTTGAAACCATTTCGCTACAATTTGTACAGTGTGGCAAGAGGCATTGTCCTACTGAAATTAGCCACTACTATAGCAAAAAAAATTCCCTTATGAAAAGTTGTACTTGATTTTAATGAGGTGGGTAGTATGCGACATATCAAATATTGCCTTTTAGATTGCTTCCGAAACCATGCCACTGCATCCATTGACTTGTTGTTTTTACTAAAGTGTTTCTTGATGCCTTATTTTCTCCAAGATAACGAAGCACGCACATACAATCATCCAACCTATACAGTAAAAGACGAGATTTATCGATTGGAAAAGGCAACCGTCTCTGGCAAAGGATAAAACGTCCAGTTCAGAAGCTCGTGCCCTCATTGAAGATGTTTCCGGTGATAGACACTAATAAACATAGATACTGCTAACTGCACGGTCACGCAGGCGGTACGTAACAAGGATGGATGAACCGTATGTTGTAATTTCTATATGTAAATCATAACACATCCCAGCAAGATTCTATTTTCCTTTTAAGGGAAAATAGAACTTTGCTGGGTTGTTCGCTCACTGTCGCTGAGCTGTCTAAGTCACAGCAGATCAAACGGTGGGAGTGCGTGAGGGTTGTGGCTCGTTCAAAGGAAGACGCAGGTTCGAACCCAGCCGAAGAGCACATCTTTATTAAGATTTCCCGATTGCGCAGGCCGATAGATGTAATACATTGTTTAGAAAATAAAAACAGGATGCCTATTTCAAATACGGGTATCCATTAAAAATAACGTCCGAAGTAATAAAAATTCCGGATTAAAAATAAATTATTATATATATATATATATATATATATATATATGATGGTCGCTTCTTGTCGTGGTGTAAGGGCTTGCGTAGTCCAATGACAGATTGACGCCATCAAGAGTTCTAAACACTTGATAGGACCACTCTTGGCGGCGAGGTCGAAGACTAAAACCCAGACTAAGCGCAAAAACTCCAAAGACCTCAACGGATGATGAATACAACAGATCTGAACACTTGAACCAGCGGATGAAGAGGGCTATGCATGACGGACATGCTACAAAGGGAACCACTTGAAATCATAACACTCAGATGCAGTTTCATAACACGGTTCTTCATGTTTCATTCCATATGTGCCGCAGAGAAGATCATGAAATCAAGTGTATGGGTCACTTGGTGACAAGTTGAGGTTCATCATAAACAAATTCCCGCAATCGGCACTTTCACCTCCTACCAACTCTAGCAAAGCCAACCGTTAATAGGGAATGGATGACGGGAGCAGATTCTGGGAAAACTTGAAGCTTCTAGGCTGGAACATCCATGTTGGCGCTGAATTTAGTTAAAAACATCATCATCATAAAATAAGAGATAAGCAAAGAAAAAATTAAATTCTTCGATACGAGATAAAGCCGGAGAAAACGACGATATAAAAGGTCAATACCAAGCGGCGACAGTCTATTTCATGCTTTAACGCAATCTTCATCTGAAGCTTGTGCTTAAGCATGAAACAGACTCTCGCTTCTTGGTGTTGACTTTCGGTGTTCACTTTTATATTTATATACGCTCTATCTCTGATATTGAGCACTTTTACTCATAAATATAGCATACCATAAAATTAAACACACACACATACATACCCCCATATATATATATATATATATATATATATATATATATATATATATATATATATATATATATATATATAGCATCAGAATCAGGTATTACAGGAGAAAGTTGTTACAAATACTTTTATGTTTCACTGATTTGTCTTAATAGCAAACCCTGTATTATATCTCTCCATAACATCTTAATCTTCAGTTCTTTGTTTATTCAGTCTGCTACATATTTGGCACCAAACAAGTGGCATTTTACTCCATCTGTTATCATTTCTTGCTGTTTGTTCTACTGTTTAAAAAAAATCATATCAATTATGTCTTACCTCGGTTCGTTCTCTGATCTGTGCTGATTTTTTCTATCGTCTAGAATTATCCCTATTATTACTGTTTCCATTAATGCTTGTATATATTTTTTATCTTGTTTCCAAGCGAATTTCTTACTTCCCATGTTTCACACATCATTGTTACATCTGGTATGATGCATTCATTATATACTTCATGTTTCATGCAAATTGGCAACGTGCTTTTCTTTATGTCTTTCTTTATTCCAGTTAAATTCTTTTCATATGTCGTTTTCTCCCATTTCTGTGATCGTTTGTTGATATTATCACCTGTCCGAAATAGACGCATTGTTACACTTCTCTTCTATTCTCTTTTCTTCTTATGAACTTTTTTCTGAATGTTAAAATTTTATTCTTGTTTTTTTTTTTGTTCATTTTTTTTCTGTTCATACTGATACTTTCACTTTACAGATCATTTAGCAAAATGTCGGCATTCCCCGTTTATGTCTATTCTTATCCATTTCCAGTTAATTTTCAAGAATATACTTTAAAGTAAGTAAATAGTTTAGATGAAGCTGTATCGCCTTGTCTAACTCATTGTTAAAATTATTTTATTACTGACTTTGTGTAGTTGAATTATTGCAGTTACGTTTTTTCTCATTTATATAAAAACAAAAAAATATATATAAAACAAATGATATTAACAGAAATTTACGCTGGAAAATTTAACGTTATAAAGTTAAATCTAAGTAAAGGAGAAAATTTGAGTTAAATGCATTGGCAATCAAAGAGACTATATTGAAAAAATATTGTCAGTTTTTCTTTTCAAAAAAATTTTCGTCCTCTTTTTGAGTTTTTAGAAGACGTCCCATCTTTTCTCCAATTTAATATTTACACCGAAGACTGGAGCAAGGAGAAGAGAAATGAAGGCTTACCGCTGGGGAAAAGCGTGGAAAGAAAACAACAATGCAACATCGGAGGTGAACATTGCAAGCAAGAGTGTCACTCCTGTATGAGCCTGTACAGCCATAACAGATAATGCACGGCCATCAGCAGCTGAGGCATAATACTTTCAACGCAGATCCAAGGTTTCTCGAGACGGACGGAAGCTACACACGCACACACACACGCACACACACACATCTATCTATCTATCTATCTATCTATCTATCTATCTATCTATCTATCTATCTATCTATCTATCTATCTGTGTGTGTGTGTATAAAATCAAATATATATATATATATATATATATATATATATATATATATATATATATAATTTAAAATTTGCTATATTCGTAGGTTGGATTTGTATGGTATAGAAGTCCATAGTACAACAAAATGTTTATATATATTGAGAGTCTGGACAAGGAAGTCAACACTGTATGCTCACTGTCATTTCAAATATACTAGCTATCTTCAGACCATGCGCCACTACTCCTTCCAAATGTAGACACAAAAGGATCTTCCTATTACGCTACCTGCAATCACATAATTAAAATAAATAAATAAATAAATAAGATCTTGTAACCTAAATCTAACAATATGTCATATATCAAAACAAAAAATATATAAAGGACAATACAAAGCAAGAACAAACAAAAAGTAAGGGAAAAACACTTAAAGTTTGGAACAGAAGAATTGGGAAAGAACAGTTTCCTCTTTCTTCTGCTTCGCCTATTACCTTAGTGACCTCTATATAAAGACCACGCAAAGAGTAGTGACATAAGATGAAATTGACCATGCAACGTTTATTTCTATGTCATTATTCTCTATATTTATCCATGTAAAAAAATGGAAATATTACTACTTTTTTCAGGTTTTTCTTGCATTTATATTTGTCATTTGCTTTTATGATAAACCTTATTAGAATTCACAATAATTTGGTGTAATGATTAGCATAACGAAAAAGGCCGAAATGAAGTCAAAATCCAATCAGAACACTTGTCATTATTGTAATAGAAAATCAACTAAAATCAAATCTAGTTGAGCTCGCTGCTGCAGTTAAATAAAAAGGCCATAGAATGAAGACGAGTTTTTTTTTCAATCAATATATCCCAAAATAGGTAAATCCCTCACAAACCAAGATTTTATTATTGCACATATTTTTATCATTTCTAGATACTTAGGATTTCTATCATCTCTTTTTCGTTTGACTTTTTCCTGTTCTTCCCCACTCCTTTTTAAAGAAAAACTCAGTTTTCTCTCTCTCATTCTTTCTCTTTTTCCCTTTTTCTCTCATCTCCCACTCCCATTCTTTCTCTTTTTCCCTTTTTCTCTCATCTCCCACTCTCATTCTTTCTCTTTTTCCCTTTTTCTCTCATCTCCCACTCTCATTCTTTCTCTTTTTCCCTTTTTCTCTCATCTCCCACTCTTTCTTTCTCTTTTTCCCTTTTTCTCTCATCTCCCACTCTCATTCTTTCTCTTTTTCCCTTTTTCTCTCATCTCCCACTCTCATTCTTTCTCTTTTTTCCTTTTCTCTCATCTCCCACTCTCATTCTTTCTTTTCCTTTTTTTCTCATCTCCCACTCTCATTCTTTCTTTTTTCCTTTTCCTTTTCTCTCATCTCCCACTCTCATTCTTTTCTTTTTTTCCCTTTTCTCATCTCCCCTCTCATTCTTTCTCTTTTTCCCTTTTCTCTCATCTCCCACTCTCATTCTTTCTCTTTTTCCCTTTTTCTCTCATCTCCCACTCTCATTCTTTCTCTTTTTCCCTTTTTCTCTCATCTCCCACTCTCATTCTTTCTCTTTTTTCTCTCGTGTCCTCGTTATTTTTAAAATCTTTCTACACCTTCTGACTCTTTATTTCCTTTCCATTTCTTTCTCTATTTCACTGACTTTGTTAAAAATGCGAGAAAGTATTGGTGCAGAAAAGAAAAGAAAAAAGCGTATATTTTCACAAGAGATTCCAATTTTTTCTACAGCTGCTCATATGCCACTAACGCACACATGCTACATATATATGCACACACGCAATAA